AGAGAGAGAGAGAGAGAGAGAGAGAGAGAGAGAGAGAGAGAGAGAGAAATTGACAATACAAAAAAAGGAAGAGAGTTGGAAATAGTGACAAATAATCAAACAATATGTCACTACATGATCCTGTGTTATTTGTCTCAAAAGCACTTTGTCTCCAAAACCCAGCTCTATTCTGCTTCCCTTTACCCACAAATCAACAGCAGTTGAGGACAGGGGGAGGTAGGCAGAGAGGATGAGGTGTTCAGGCGATTCTGACGACCTCTCGCCTTTCGGATGAGAGACATTTCCCTGTCTGTGGAAAGGCACGTCCCTCTCTTCCTTCTTGTAATAGTCCATTCCTGCTTATCCTGTCTCTTAAAACAGCTCTCACCGGTCATAAGTGCCCTCTCACTCTTTTTCCTCCATGAGTCTCTCACTTTATTGCTCTTTGTGCAGTAAATCCTCTTCAACAAAAGAGAATAGGGCTGTTACACACCCGTGTAAATACAGCGCATGAGTCAACTTCTCTCCTGACCAAACGGTACAGCATAACCCAGCTGTCAGCAGACCTCTGTTTCACAAACATCTGATTGCACTGCATCGCGGTCCTTACTCGGAAAAAAAGGTTGAGTTGAACAATTTTGCGATTGGTGAATTGAAGTTCCAGAGGACAGAGACACAAAAATGCGAAAGTGTGTTAGCCTGACCAGGATAAAATGCAGAGGTGTTACCAGCGTCGGAAATACACGAGGGCAAAGGGCAAAACTGCCCCTAAGAAATGTCATTTTGCCCCTGATATCACTAGGAGAGGGGCAAAAAATGCCCCCGAACTTTCTAAACGAATAAATAAATGGAGCGCTTCTTAAATCAGACCTGTGACTGCGAGACTGCGGTCAACTCAGCAGACGCTTACATTTTAGTGCACCTATATGCTGAAATTCACGGTAAACTCATTCAAACGGCACAGATCGGGAGCGAGCGAAGGACGTTGAAAGTTAACGGAAAGATTAACGTGAGACAACATCCGGTTTCTTCAGACGAACATCCGGTTTCCAGAATAAGATGCCAACAAAGTATACATATTGCATAATGGAAATTAGATTAAATGAATTATATTCACATTAAGTATAAAACATGCTACCTGTATCTCGTGAGTTAAAGGGAAAATACACCTAAATAGTGCGTAAAGTGTCTTTATTCTTTGATTTGAGGGTTGCTGGAAATGAATAATACCTGACTGATAGTCAATTAAGATATTTTACGAAGCAAAAACTCTGAACTGAATTTGTACCTTCAAATGGCACATTTTTTTAATTTTTAAGGTGCTATAAAAATGTTTTTCTCAAATATTCCACACAATGACTAATGCATAAGTTCAGGACAAAAATGGGTAATATCACAATATTTGAGGTGCTACAAAAATATTTTTTCTGAATAATTCCATACAATGACTGATGTATATGTAATCAAGGCATCGTTGACTTAATAATTGTTAATAGTTGTTTAAAACATTTAATAATAATAAATAACCACAAAGAAATAAGAATAAAATTGAATAGGATTGTCTGATTTACGTTTGTTTTTTGTTAAAAAAAAAAAATCAAAGAAAACACTTTGAATCTGTAGACTACTGCCTAATAGTCTTATTATTGCCATTTGATGACAATTGCTCATATATTGTAAGCCTAAATAAGTATATTTATTATTTTGAACAAAGGTTAAATGTTATTTCACAAGTTTCAAAAAGTGCCCCCAATTTTTTGAAAATGCCCCTGGATTTCAGTCAGTGGGGGCAAAAATTGCCCCCCCAAAAAATATGTAAATTTCCTACCCTGGGTGTTACTGTACGCACCAGCCTGAGTGTGTTGGCTGCAGATTGCTTTGATATAGAGCACAGCTGTACAGTAGAAGTGGTCAGAGCTTACCTTGACTCTAATATTGGCAATTTCTCTCTCTATCCAGGTGATATGAGACACGTTCTGAGATGAGAGGATGGTTGTGTTGGAAGTTAATATACAGTAGGTTATAGAGAACATACTTGTAAAATTTCAATATGAAGGAAATAAAAATACAGATGTATTGGACACAAATAAAAAGGGTCCTTGCAGGCACAAAACACACACACACACACACACACACACACACACACACACACACACTCTTAGAAAAGGGCCAAATGGCGATGGTTGCCACACTAGTGACAGGAAACTTCTCTTCCCTCCTTGTTCTCACTTCCTCTTTTCTTAAACTGATCTAGTTTCCTTCCTGCTTGATAACTTGCAGTTTCTGCGAGCAGCGAGGAGCTGGATTTCCCAGTATAACTGCTGCTCAAATTTATAATTTCACCAAACGTATCTGAATCACACATGTAGGTGTTTAAGAATGTGTAAGAATTTAATGGCCTCTGCACATCACAATGGTTCGGATGAACTGCTTAAATGTTATTGTGTTCATTTGACTATTTAGTGCATCAACGCACAGGCTGAACACTAGCATGCCCAAACAGAAAGTGAGTTCCTGGATTAGCACTAGCTTGAAATCGATTGCACATGTGAAATCAAAAAAGGATAGAAGTTTTGAGTTTCAATAAACTAACAGAATTAAGCATTGAGGAGGTGCTTCAGGGTTAAAGGAGGTGGAAGCTAAATAAGTCCTCCTGCGTTTCTCTCCCTTCAATACCGGGAAGCTGGCAGCTCAGCATCACGTCCACCCGCACAAAGGAAACCCCTTCCACTCCTCCAAAAATACACACACACACACACACACACACACACACACACACACACACACACAGCTGCTTGAAGCTTCGGGCAAGTCCCCAGTCGAACAAACACATGCGTGGCCCCGGCACCACCCACGCTCTCAACATCAACTTGAGGTTAATGACAAGCAAACATGAACAAAAGCCACCACTTGCCTCTTGTGTGCGACGGGTACGGAATATGAGCCTCCACATGTCCGTATATTTCCATGTCACTGGTGTCAGTGAATCTCTGTGACATGCACGGTCTTACAAATACAGCACACGGCATCTACGTCAGAGTTAGCCAACACTTTCTGTATGCAATACCAAAATGACAGACCTACAAGTATACTCTAGTAGGAAGTAAATGTGCAGCAGATTGACTGGTTGGGGATAGAGGTAGGAGGAAGGAAATGGGTACAGAGCTGCAGGAAGTGTCTCTTAGGAAGTGTTTTCTCATTGGAAGCAGCAGGGAGTGGTATAGTGACAGAGGAAGAAGGGGAAAAAGACACTGTTGCCGGAGCACAGAGCAGTTCCAGGCAAGTCTACTAAACTGTTTCACACAGTTTGAAGTGAAGTTGAACAAAAAACAGATTCACTCTGCATAATTAAGCACCCTGTATGATTACACAAGCCTCTGTTGGCAACCGCAGTAGTTCCCAGAGAAGGGGAGGGAAGTAATTGCATGCTGAGGCATGCTCGTCAAGAATCAGAGATTTGACAATCCTGTATGAAGTTTGCATTTCCTCTGGGTAAAAGCATCCGTTGGAATTAGAAGTTGCATGTCAGTTAAAACTTGGATCTTCAGTAGCTTGTATCTTTCTGACAGATAGAAAGCAGATGTACTACCTCCTGTCAGACCAACATGGTGTAATGGTCTTTGATAAACACAAGGGGCCAGTGCAAGTCTACAGCCAGGCCAGTGCTCCAAAGAAGAGTGCCATGAGAGAAGAGCTTTAGCCAAGTAAGGGCATGTTCACATTGTTAGCACATGCCTCCTCCACTGTTGGATCCGACATTATTACAACAAAGCAGACAAACGTTAGGACCGATGGGGAGCCTGTGGGAGGTGACAGAGGCTGAGCTGCTGAACAAAAAACGGTCAAATCACAGCAGCAAGTTAAAGCCCTTTGACAGCAATGTCTTGTCCTGATGTTCGCTCTGTGACAATGAGGTTTAGAAGAGTGAGACGATTGAAGAGCTGAAAAAGACAAGACAATTACAGTATTTGTCTCACTGTAGCCTCTCGTCTTTCCTAGAAAATGAAGCAGGAGCAGCACCTGCACGTTGTCAAATGCATGACAGTTCTGACTGCTGAATTGAGAAAGTCCAGAGTGGGAGACAGCATAAACGACTAGTGTACATGAAGGGAGACAGAGTAGTCGAAACATCCAACCAACCAACCAACCGTGCATCAGTCTCATTACTATGAAAACAAATGTCCTACAATAGACTTGGTCTGCCTAAGCAGACACAAAGAGGGGAGAATACACTGCAGTACCTCGACTATGATAAAGAAAGTGCGATTACTTAATTAGAACTGAAGAGTAAAAGACACAGAAAAGAGTTGGAAATAGTGAATGTTTGAAGCAGTTGACTGATCAAAGTGGTGGTAGATTCATTTTCTGTCGAGTAATCGATCAATCAAATATTTTCTATAATATTTTAAGGATCATTAATAAAAACAAGCTAGCTGTTTATCCTCCTCCAGAATGACACTTGATTCTGCTTTTGTCCACATACCTCCTGGATAATAAACCAAACCAGTCTATTAACAACTTACTAACATGTATAACTGCAGACTGGATGGACTGCATAAAAACAAACGCAGATTAAAGCACCGGTTTAGTCCTCATTCAGTGATGGCTTGTTTGCACCGAGTCAGTGTGCCTTTGGTTCAGAGTTGTGTTGGGTGCTTGAAACGTGTCCAGAAATGTGTGCAGGCAGGCGCCCTAATCTGTTAGGTGAGAGGCAGGAATGTCTCCCTCTGTTTGTTTCAGTCTGAAACTCTTCCCTCTCTGCCCCTTCATCATCTCTGAAGGCAGGGCTGCTATATTTTGGTGGGCAGGGCTGACTCATCCTTTCCTGTTCATTTTTTCCTTTGATGAACAGCCTGCTCCGACAACACACCTTTCTTTCCACTTCGCCAAAAAGTTTCTCCACCTGTCCAACTTCAATCGGTCCGTTCGCCTGTCCCCCCCATTCGTTCTCCCACTTACTCTGTTGACCATCTAGCAACACCTGCAGTCAGCCGCGACTGACAGGACGGTAGGGGAAGAGGTGGGAAGAGGGAAGGAAGGTTGTGGGAAGAGGCAGCGCTGCAGCTGGACAATCATCCATTCCCAGTGCAATCCTTAGACATCCCGACATGGTGCTTTAATACTAGCTGGGGCAGGCCGGATGAGAACAGATTTAAAGAATGTCATAAAAGAAGAGACAAATGGAGAAAAAATAAAAAGTTTAGGTTCCGGCTGAATGAGAACAAAGAACTAGCAGCCCAGCAAAGACTTATAGACTTAATCCCTCACTACTTAACGTGATTATCTCCGTCTTTGCCAGTGCCGTTATCCCACAGAAATATAGAGACAAGAGTTTCATCTATAGAACAGATAGTAGAATAAGAAAGATTGTTATAAGTATGAGCAATACCTACAATACAATTCTTTTGTGGAATCAGTGCTACCTTAGCACATTACATTATAGTACAAAAACAGAGATATGTAGATACAGAAGAAGATAATGAAAAGGTGGTTTATGACTAGTCACAGGTTTATCCATCACTGTTGATAGGCAACATGTTTCGATCCTTGACTTCTTCGTAAAGGGTTCTGGAGTTACTAAACATCCTTTAGCAGACCATCTGTCCATCTGCTTATCCAATTACACTATCACGCCACACACACACACACACACACACACACACACACACACACACACAAAATCTAAAACCACTACTACACTGACCAAATACCGGCAAAAGTTTTAATGAGCAGGATCTTTCGACTAGCACAGATGCTAGTTTTATATCAAATGCTATAAGACAAGTTAAAGGTGGATGTTACAGAATTAGCACAGATGCTACAGGAAATCCTGTGTTGGCATAGGTACTAATAATAGCCCCAGCAAGGATAGCAGTAAGATGAGAGGCAGTTCAGTGCTGGGCCAGTTGACATGAGGCCTTAATGGCCTTGTGTAACATCCACAGTGGCAGCGATGGTCAATAAATAAATAAAAGAGAGACGGAAATGGCAGGGGGGGAGTAAGAGAGATAAAAAGAGAGGGCTAGATAATAGGTCTAGGCCATATGGGGAAAATCAAATACACTATCAATATGCATTTTACCAAATACCTCAAGATCGATGTTGAAGAGTTGAATATTGGTGATGGTAATTTAAACATTGAGGTCATCAGAGTTAAAGCTAAGCGGGCTGACTGACTGCAGTGGAAATGTGCAGCACTCTACTTCACCATTCACAGAATAACAGAGCAACACCTGCATATAAACACACACGTCAACCATTTTCTAACTTCTACGTCATTACCTAACCGGTCCCACTCTCATAGTTTTAACTCTTCACACCAGCCAGAGCAGCCTAAAATAGCAGCTTCAAATCTCAGTCAATACTTCCTCCGTCTCGTGGTTCTCCTCTTTCCTTAAATATCAACCTGACCACTTGCCAAAAGCACAAACGGGTATAAATCAAAACACAGGCGTAGGCATCCTTCCTGAACTTAAACACGATTCATAACCTTGTGCACTGTTCCAAAACGCGTCCGACTATCAGTGTTTTTTTCATATATAAACTCCACCACCTCCAACACTTGAGATGGGAAATTGTATGATGAATATTTCACCAGCCGAGCACTGCCACCCAGGTAGACACACCTTCATCCTTCTCCGTTGAGGCCAGATCAGTGGCATCTAACCCTTCCTGTTTGTAACACTTCACTTTAACGTACACGATGTCAGGCTAAAATGTCACTGGCATGCTCACAATTAAATATAAATAGACGTGACGTGGATTTAAATTAAGAAAACATTAGCATGTATGTTCACTGAAGGATGGAGTCCAGGCACTAAAAGTTTTAAGAAAGTACATTTTCTCCTCTTACTTCATCAAAAAAGCACATTGTGGTAGTGTTCTCTCTGTTAACAACTTTTAATGGCTAATGCGGAAGAATCATATAATCTTTAATGGTAATACAGAGCATTGAGACCTTCATAACATGATGTATTTATTTGAATTAAATTTTTGCTGTATTGATGTTTTTTCAGCCACTCGGGGAGAGCAGAACAAACTGTAAACACAACATTGACACATTGTAAAGCTCATATGCATATGTGTTGGCAAACAGTTGTCCATTTACAGATCCAGCAGTAACATTAACATTCATTTGGAATCATGTTTATGGTCACCTGATGAATGTACGCAAGTCCAAAACGTTCACTTTGTCTGATGTTTGGTGCCAGGCATGACATTCAAACAGGGTTTATGAAATCAGATAATAATCAGATAACAGCTGCCAGCTGTGGTTGGACAAAGACGATGAGACCGCCGACACTGAACCAAGTTGTGTTGCCGTCGAACCAAAACAATCAGCGGAAAAAAGCTGAACTGCTCCGTAGAGCAGAGGGGCGCTGCAGAGTTGTGTGAATTCTCCATGGGTTCATCACTTCGAGCGACTAATTATACATTACACAGTCATCCCATAGTTATATAATTGATTTGTGCAGATTTGAATATGTCAGAAAATACGATTTTCTCCTTATTGTAATAGGCAGGGAAAAAAGAAGCTCACCGTTGCTGCTAAATTGAGTTGAAAACAAATGAATGAAGATGAATCGTCTAGTTGTCAAAGCTTCTGAAAGTATGACGTGGCCAGCAAAGACAGAATTTACAAGCATTTGGCTGCTGAAAACTTGGACCGCTGCCTTTGGCCATGTCAGTCGATGTTAAACCAGTTCATCCTGAAGCCCAGAAGAGTAAATCAATTGTAGAAGTTGACACTCAGGTGTGAGTATTACAATGAGATGCGGAAATAAATAAATATCTTCATCTCGGGGGTGTTTTTTATCAACTCATCTGTATATAAATTAACTATGAAATATGTTGTTAATGGAATTTTTGCATTTCCTGTAATGCTTATGACACTGCTGTTATGTCATGGCAAAAGGTTATATGATCCCGGTAAATTTGCTGAGAAAGAGAATATGTATACAGTATATATAAATATATATGAACATATGAGTGAGAGAGGAGAGAAAGAGAAAAGAAGAAAAAACATGGCAGACGGAACACACAAATTGAAGTAAAAAGAAAATGCAGCAGCGGTTTTATTGAATCGAGAGAGAAGGGCAGAGATAACAAACACCATCAGCATCCATATTAATGAGAGCTAAAGGATGAGAGGAACAGGTCGGAACATTTTCCTTAAACGACCCTGAGAGGGAGATGCGTGAAACTATGGCAACTGTGTCTGTCTCCATCTCCCAGCATCCTCTTTCTATGATAAGAGGTGTTAGCAAGGCCACACACACACACACACACACACGCACACGCACATGCACACGCACACACACACTTTCTTCCAGGTAACATTTGCCAGCTTCCAGCTCAACAAAAAGAGTACTTGTGTGTCTTCCTCCTCTACTTCAATATGCAATTTGAAAGCAGAATCTTCTCCAAAACCAACCATGCTGCATGAGGATGAACTCCAAGTTATATATCATGGCGGCCTTTAAAGGTTGGCAACGTAGCTTGTGACTCTACTATCATAAACCTTTCAGAATACACAGACGTGTATATATAAATAAGATGATGCACATGCGTACTGGATGATTAATGGGGCCGACTCTCTGTCAGAGTAGCCCTGTGTAGTCACTACTGTACTGTACGTGAGTGAGTGAGTGAGTGAGTGAGTGAGAGAGAGAGAGAGAGAGAGAGCGCGTTTTAAGCCAAACCGATATATGAATGAAAATCCTTCACAAGAAGCCCGGTAAAGAGTGTGTGTGCGTGTGTGTTGCTCATAAACCTGTTTTCCTTCCTGGTGGCACAAGTCACAATCGGCTTAGCGACGGCAAGGACACTGTAACCATGACAACTAGGCCCATAGCAGCCATGAATGGATGGAGGAGGAGGGGGATGAAGTGAATAGATGGATGGATCAAAAGTCTGAAGGGCATCTGGTTCAAGTTAAGTAGGTTTTTAGTTTGTTCTGGGATGATGAAACATAATATATAATATTGGGACTTGTAATGCTCAGAGCACAAACACAGTCCGGCCACATCCATTTAAAAGCCTTCTGTGGTCGCGTCCTAGAGGTTTTTCATTCATATATCTTCATCAGTCTGGCTGAACACACTCTTACACACATTAAAAGGGCACTGTGAAATTATTTTAAAAAGAGAGAAATAGTGGTTTCATGCAAGGTATGTCTTTTTTTTGTTTTGTTATTTTGACCAGCGATCCATCTGGTAAAAGTATATTGCTGAGATTTGGGAAGTTCCGAAACAAATACTGGATTAAGGTGAACAATAAAATTAGTACGGAAACTTTAAATATTCTATCTATACTTACTACGACACCACCAACAACAAGTTACTGATTTTGAGCTCAAGTAGGTCATCAGTACACAACATCAATAGATCATCAGCCAATTAGCTACTCAATCTACATACTGTATGCTCCATTACTGTTGCAACTAGCTCGTAAACACAATAAAATAAAATCCGGAAACAGATTTTTCAGGGGTATCAAAATGATATCGACCTGTACTGTACAATATGTGTTATGATTTCCAGATATCAGCAGCCAGGCCACAAAAACAATGTAGATATTTGATTTAGATAAATCGATTTAACTGTTGGCTTGTTTACAGGCTGTTATTGTCTCACTGCTGGACTTGGTTGTAGTGATGTCGCTGTTTATCCAGATCCAAACCATGACTTTGGTGAATACAATAGTATCATAACTGACAGAAATTATGGCCCAAACTACAAAAAAATAGGACTTCAACAAACCAGAATCTTACTCCGCTTGTAGCTAAATGAATGCTTTGGAATGATCTGAAAAACTCTTGAAGGAGTGATTAAAGATAGTTTAACAGCATCCCAAGAAAACAGAGTGCAGTGAGGTGAACTGTATAGCTGATGGCCAAGAGGAAGAAGTACTGTAACAGAGGTCATATTGTGGACAACGGAAGATTTAGAGGCCCCTTCTAGCACAGAGGCAGGCTGGGTAATTGGGCTGTAAACCATCCCCCAGTGTGTGTGTGTGTATGTGTGTGTGTGTGTCAACCAGTACACCAAGCCATCTAAACCGCTGCCACCATTAACATCAGTTTCTGTTGATGATAAACTCAGATAAGAGGATACCCACTTGACAGGCGCTTCAATCAAACACTACCGACCCCCCCCAACACGTCACATCACACACACACACACACACACACACACACACACACACACACACACACAC